GTGTCACCCTTTAAGAAAAGCATTTATTTTATATGCAGACTGTAGTGTTTCAAAACACATACATTCAAAGCTAAAAAAGCCCTTAAATCCCATTTTAAAGAATGTTTTAGTCATACAAAGACTCAGCATAGAATTTATTTAAATAAAGAAATCCCCCGGGCACGTTTAAAGCACTTATTCAGTTCAACGTGTGCAACTTCCAGAACCCATCACACGAGGATGCCTGTCATTCAGTGGCTGGCAGCGAAGTCTGCTTCTCATGTTTCTGAATCTGAATGTGTAAATTCTTCATGTTCCAAACCTGTGATGAGCGTGTGGGATTACTGTGTTTGCCATGTTGTCAGCATATTATAGGATTTTGCTCCTTGGCTGAGTGATTACGTTAAGGACATTGCGATTCTAACCACAAAGAAACAGATTTCCTCCTAGCCCGGCACTCTTCCTTTCAAAAACGTTGTTGAAAGTGGTGCTTAAAAGATAATTCCAGCTTGCTAAATTTAGGATGTGGAAAAAGTCCAAAACCAGAATATTCCATGGGTAATTGTGCAAGAAATGTTAATATGTGCCACAAGGGGAGGGTGTCCTCCACTCCTAATACCTCTCTATCTGTGACTTGACACCCAACGTATAATTTTGCAAGGTTAAAAGTTAACTGAGGCAGTGAAGAACTCTACTACCATCACCACATTTTAAATAGAAAATGATTTCATACCTGAGTTATTCCTAAAACCACACTGCAGTCAGAGCTACTCTGCAAAATTTATCAGCGAGTTCTCTGCTTATCTTCATATTCAAGGCAAATTTATGTTCATCCTCAGTTCACGTGCAAAAAAAAAGAAGCTAGCAGTGTAAGTTAACACAGGGTAGCCATAAAATCTGTGTGCCATTTTAGTTTTTTATTTTATTTATTTTTTTGAGACAGAGTCTCACTATGCCACCCTCTGTAGAGTGCTGTTACATCACAGCTCACAGCATCCTCAAATCCTCTGGCTTAAGAGAGAGATTCTCTTGCCTCAGCTTCTCAAGTAGCTGGCTATTTTTTTTTCTTTTAGTTTTTGGCTGGGGCTGGGTTTGAACCCTCCACCTCCAGCATATGGGGCTGGTGCCCTACTCCTTTGAGCCACAGGCACTGCCTTTTTTTTTTAAGAGACAGCGTCTTACTTTATTGTCCTTGGTGGAGTGCTGTTATGTCACAGCTCACAGCAACCTCCAACTCTTGGGCTTAAGTGATTCTCTTTCCTCAGCCTCCCGAGTAGCTGGGACTACAGGCTGGCTATGTTTTTCTTGCAGTTTGGTAGGGGCTGGGTTCAAACTCGTCACCCTTGGTATATGGGGCTGGCGCCCTACCCACTGAGCCACAGGCACTGCCCTGTTTCAATTTCTTTCAATTTATGCCCAACCTGACATCCACTGTGCTTCCTGGTCAATTTCTCTGACACTTAAGGACAAATCTAGTTTTTCCTTTATTTGGATTTGGATTTATTATTATTGGCCTCCCCTACACTGTATCAAAGCCACCCATGGCTTCTTGTTCATGGTGAGGGTATCAGCAACTTTCTTGAGAAATAATGGGCATATATGATGGCAAACAGCAACTCAGAGTTGACCCTGTGTGTGTGTGAGGGGGGTCATACCACCATATGGGTATAAGTCCTGAGTCATTTGAGTATCCTTTTTTGTTTGTTTGTTTTTTTGTAGAGACAAGAGTCTCACTTTATTGCCCTCAGTAGAGTGGGTAGAGTGCCATCGGGTCACACAGCTCACAGCAACCTCTAACTCCTGGGTTTAAGCGATTCTCTTGCCTCAGCCTCCTGAGTAGCTGGGACTAAAGGTGCCCACCACAACGCCCGGCAATTTTTTTGTGGCAGTTTGGCCAGGGCTGTGAGCCACAGGTGTTGCCCCATTTGAGTATCCTTTTAGCCATTTATGACCTGGCCCATTAGGAGGGTACTACAATGGGTTGGTACACTCAGCAACTGTAGAGAACACTCTGGGATGAAGGGGAAACAAGCTAATTAAAAAAACAAAACAAAAAAAACAAAGTCTCAGTGCCAGCCACATACGCTGAGGCTGGTGGGTTCGAACTGGCCCATGCTAGGTAAACAATGACAACTGCAACAAAAAATAGCCAGTTGTGGCGGGCACCTGTAGTCCCAGCTCCTGGAGGCTGAGGGAAGAGAATCGCTTAAACCCAAGAGTTAGAGGTTGCTGTGAGCTGTGATGCCACAGCACTCTACCCAGGGTGCCATAGTGAGATTCTGTCTCAAAAAAAAAGGAAAAGAAAAGAAAGTATAAGTTCTAATGTTTGAGAGCAAAGCAGGGTGGCTATAGGTAGCAATGACATATTGTATATTTCAAACTAGCTAGAAAGGAGGGCTTGAGATGTTTACAACACTCAGAAATGACAGGGATAACCTAGATACCCTGACTTGGTCATTACCCACTCTACCCGTGTAATAAAACATCACAGGTACCTCACCAATACGTATGATCATGTATCAATTAAAACAACACCTCATGGCTTGGTGCCCATAGCACAGTGTACGGCGCCAGCCACATGCACAGAGACTGGCGGGTTCGAACCCAGCCCAGGCCTGCTAAACAATGACAACTGCAACAACAACAACAAAAATAGCCGGGCATTATGGCAGGCGCCTGTAGTCCCAACTACTTGGGAGGCTGAGGCAAGAGAATCACTTAAGCCCAAGAGTTTGAGGTTGCTGTGAGCTGTGATTCTATGGCACTCTACGGAGGGCAACATAGTGAGACTCTGTCTCAAAAAAAACCCAAAAAACAAAACAAAAAACACCTCATGACCCTTGATGACAAACCATGTGACATTTGCAGGTTTTTATCTTCTGACTGCATCTGCCCAGGAGGTAACAGCACCAGCCACTTCCTGGACTATCTTCATGGGAGGAATCTGCTTCCAAATCTATGTGGGGGAAACAGGGTCGACATTGAACTTCGATCCGTGCAACCTGGGCTGTGCCTCGGCTCCGATGCTAACCATTTGCATCCTCGTGGGTGCGCCATTTGCTTCTCCCAGTCCCAAACTTGGAGGGGGACACACAGAGAACAAAGGACATTTAGTGACAGAACATGGTGGGTAAGTGCTTGTTCTCTGTCACTGGCTGGTGTGTTACAGATAAGATCATTGGGGTTGAAATCCTGGTAGGTATGAAGATCACTCAGCCTCCTTCAGATTTGAAATATGCTCAGTGTGCAAATTCTTCTGTACTGAAAATAGTACTACTAAATATATTGTTGTTGCCCATGGATATTTTGCGCAGAAGAAAATAATTGATTAGCCACTGAATGGTGCTTAGATGTTTTAAAGGCTTGACCCCCCCCCAAAAAAAAAAAAAATTCAGGATGCTTGCTGCCAGTTCCCAGATTCCTGGCTCCACAAAGGATTTACCATATTTTGCCATGTATAGTGTTTAGCCTGAATTTTTGAGGAAAAAATAAGATGGCACATTAGACATGGGCAGTACTAATTCCATATCTGTATAAATGTTTTTATTTTATTATTTTTTGAGACAGAGTCTCACTTTGTTGCCCTTGGTAGAGTGCTGGGGCATCATAGCTCACAGCAACCTATAACTCTTGGGCTGCAGTGATCCTCTTGCCTCAGCCTTCAGAGTAGCTGGGACTACAGGCACCTGCCACAACGCGCAGCTATTTTTTTGGAGATGGGGTCTTGCTCTTGCTCAGGGAAGACTCCGTGTTTTGCTTTGGAAACTCATTTTATCCCCACAGTAATACAAGCTGGCTGCAGCAATCAGTGGGTGGGGGGCTTTTAGAAAGAGTGTGGGGGGAAGGAAGGGGTAAGAACCCGTGGGCAGAGGACCCCACACTAAAACAGAATTTTAACTCTCACTCTTGAACCTAAGAGTTTGAGGCTGCTGTGAGATATGATGCCATGGCACTCTACAGAGGGCAACAAAATGAGACTCTGTCTGAAAAAAAAAAAAAAATTCTAGAAGTTGAATGAATAAGCCATTAATGTACATTAGTGTTAGTCTTAATCTATATTGTACAGGCAATAATTTAAGATCTTTCTTTAAGAATTAGGCACCAAGGGTTCGCTGCCCACAATACAGTGGTTATGGCACTGGCCATATACACCAAGGCTGGCAGGTTCAAACGCAGCCTGGGCCAGCTAAGCAATAATGACAACTGCGACAGAAAAATAGCCAGGTGTTGTGGCAGGCTCTTGTAATCCCAGGTACTTGGGAGGCTGAGGCAAGAGAATCATTTAAGCCCAAGAGTTTGAGGTTGCTGTGAGCTGAGATGCCATGGCACTCTACCCAGGGTAACAGTGAGACTGTCTCAAAAGAAACAAACAAACAAAAAGAATTAGAGGCCGGGCACGGTGGCTCACGCCTATAATCCTAGCACTCTAGGAGGCCGAGGCAGGCAGATTGCTTGAGCTCAGAAGTTGAGACTAGCCTGAGCAATAGAGACCCCATCTCTACTAAAAATAGAAAAACTGAGGCAAGAGGATCACTCGAGGGCGGCACCTGTGGCTCAAAGGAGTAGGGCACCAACTCCATATGATGGAGGTGGCAGGTTCAAACCCAGCCCTGGCCAAAAACTGCAAAAAAAAAAAAAAGATCACTTGAGCTCAAGAGCTTGAGATTGCTGTGAGGTATGATGCATGGCACTCTACCCAGGACACCAGAGTGAGACTGTCTCCAAAAACAAACAACAAAAGAAAGAATTAGGAACTTTTATGTATGAGTGTTTGATGTGGGGTACAGGGAAGTACGAAGCAGAGAGCTTTGTTCCGTCTGTGGGCAGAAAAGGGCGAACTGGCCACAACCACAGGCAAAAGTTAGAGAAATGTGTTAAATTTAATTCTTTAAATACATAAATTTCTCCCACCCTCACCCACTCCAGGGAGGAACAGAAACCACTCTGACTCCATTCTGGGGATCCCACGTATAAAGCCTGAGATGGTGAGGACAAAGTACAAAAATACTATTTACAGAGGGGACGAAGGTGTCTGCTATACCCTAATCTCCGACACCCTCCTCCCCAAGCCCCTTTTGATCCTTTAAAAAAGCCCCTGGGAATCAATCTGAGTATAGGACAGGCCCTCTCTAGAGGGGCCTGCAAACCCCAACCTGGGCTAGGAAGCTCTGAGGTTAGCTGAGGAAGACGGAGTGGCCAGCACCTCAGGTCCCAGCAGGGGCAGGCCTGCCCCTCCCGACCCTGCAGCCGGCCAGTCCCCAGCCGGCCTTGGTTTCCATAGGTCTCATGTAAACATTGACTTGCCCTTCAAGACGTCCCTGGTCTTCTACTTCATACAAAGCCTCCCTTGCATCTGGGGGAGGCACTTGGTTCCTTGATCTTTCCTCTAACCTTCCAATGGAGGGAGTGGGGAAGAGAGGGATGGTTGTAGGTGGGGCGGAGTCCATCTTGTTCCTCCTGGGTCAGGGCCACGTGTGCCCCACAAGGGGAAGCTTGAATGGGGATGTTCTGCATGCTCTCGACAGGGGAGAAATCCTTTCCCCAGAGCAGGGTCAAGGCAGGTAGACAGTCTGGTACCAGGATCCAGTGGTCTCGATGAGGGATGCCACCAGCACTGAGGACGGGAAGAAGGCTTCAGGAGGCAGGAAGGTGGGGTGCGTCTGACGTGGAAGCCCAGCCTTGCCCTGGGCTCCCCTTCAGCTGGGTGAGACTGTCACCACCCAGCAGTCCTGTTCCTTGGAGCTGCGTCTACAGGAGGCAAGAGAGCCACGAGGCCCTCTCCAGGTCTCAGTGTGGAGGGAGCGCTCACACCAGCTCATCCAGTAGGATCCCAATGCTCTGGGTGGCCTCCGTGGGGCCAGCAATGGGCTTGTTACACATGGGGCAGACACATCGCACTTCCAGCCACTTCACTAGGCATCTGAGAACAGAGGGAGAGCTGTGATCTCAAAGGCAATAATACCCCAGACTTCTGCAGCTGCTTCTCAGAACAAGAACATCCCATCCCTGCCTCAACCTCCCCACCTCCCCTCTGGTTTACTTGGTGTCCAGATGGGACATGGAATGTCCCCAGCAAGTGTTGACTGGGAAATGGCAGGGACTGGGAATTTCCAGACAATGCCCCCTGATTAATTCTCCCTTTTGGGGGAGGGGGTGAGAAAGAGTCTCCCTTTGTCACCCTCTGTGGAGTGCTGGAGTGTCATAGCTCACAGCAACCTCAAACTCTGGGGTTTAAGAGATCCTCTTGCCTCAGCCTCCTGAGTAGCTGGGACTAAAGGTGCCCACCACAACACCTTTTTTTAGTAGATGGGGTCTTGCTCTTGCTCAGGCAGGTTTTGAACTCCTGAGATCAGGCAATCCACCCACCTGGGCATCCCAGAGTGCTAGTATTACAGGCATGAGCCATAATTCTTCTAGGGTTACAGGCGTGAACCATAATTCTTCTAGGATTATAGGCATGAGCCATAATTCTTCTAGGGTTACAGGCATGAGCCATAATGCTGAAGGCAAACTGGACACTTACTTGCGGTGGAAAGCGTGTTGGCACGGGAGCACGCCTAGCTCGTCCTTCCCCTTGAAGTCTTCCAAACAAACTGCACAGGTCTGCTGTGGGGAGGGAAGGGGTGTGAGGAGGCTGGGGAAGCACCTTACTCACCCATCCTGAACACCCAGGAGCTCATCCCCAGCCGAGCAAAATTTAGCTCTGGCCCACTCTCGTTTGTCAGTTGGCCAGAGATACTTTAGCCATACTTTAAGAATTCTGCATTGAGAATATGGTAGCCATTAACCACATGTAGCTATTTAAGTTTAAATGAATCAAAATCAGATGAAATTAAAAATTTAGCTGGCTTCGGGATCTCCCGCCTATAATCTTAGCACTCTGGGAAGCCAAGGCAGGAGGATCCCATAAGTCCAGGAGTTCCAGACCAGCCTGAGTAACAGCAAGACCTTGTCTTTAAAAAAGTAGAAAAAAAAATAAGGCAAGAAGATTGCTTGAGCCCAAGAGTTGGAGGTTGCTGTGAGCTATGATGACGCCATGGCACTCTACCCAGGTAACAGCTTAAGACTATCTAAAAAAAAAGAAAAATTTTTAGTTCCTCAGTTCCACTGGCCACATTTTGAGTCCTCAATAGCTACATGCAGCTAATGCTTCCCATATCGAACAGCAGATACAGAATGTTTGATCAACACACACGTTTCTGTAGGATGGGGCTATTCTAGAAGAATAGCTCCAAATCCTTTCTAACCTAATATATTTGGCCAAGGGGTACCTATCAATGACAGCTAGAAAGATGGGGGTGTGGTGTATGTGCTCAGTTATATCTTTAAATCCAGAGGTAGGGCCTATATAATCTTAGCCCCCCTGGTCTCAGCTGAATTACGCTCCTAGAAGAGCTCAAACATCTGTGCCTGCAGAGATGTAAAGCAGATGAAGGGAGGCCACACCATGATCCTCCCACTCCCAAACAGCCACAGACGTGCTGACTGGGAGGGTCTGTGGCTATGGACGGCAGTCCTGGGAAACGGGTGAGTGGGGTGACCTCAAAGGGACCCAAGGAATCGGTGTTGGGGTTGTGGGGGAAACACTCGTCAGATACAGGCTGTTAGGACAGGGTATCCAGAGTAAAAGGACATTATTATTATTATTTTTGTGAAACCAGGATGTAGGGGCTGAACTTGGGGAAAGTTAGCGGGAATCTGTCTAAAGTGTGGAGTGGTGTGTTCATCCTCCCCTTAAAGATCACACATGGCTGGATTCCAGGGGCCATGTGTCACCACTAATTTTGTTTATTTACTTATTATTGTTTTTTCTTAGAGACAGAGTATCATTTTGTTGCCCTCAGTAGAGTGCTGTAGTGTCACAGCTCACAGCAACCTCCAACTTCTGGGCTTATGATTCTCTTGCCTCAGCCTCCCAAGTAGTTGGACTACAGGTACCCACCACAACACCCGGCTATTTTTTTTGTTGCGGTTTGGCCGGGGCCAGGTTCGAACCCACCACCCTCAGTATATGGGGCCGGCGCCCTGCCCACTGAGCCACAGGCGCTGCCCCATGTGTCACCACTTATGTGAACTGTTCATGTCTTTTGCCTGAGCTGGTTCCAGACATAGTGAGCTCCATATATTCCCTGCTGAGGGGTGTCCCTTTTATTTGGGCATAAGAGATAGAAAGGCAGGGATAAAGATTCCTGAAAGAGGCTTGGCAACTGTGGCTCAAGTGGCTAAGGCGCCAGCCACATACACAAGAGCTGGTGGGTTTGAATCCAGCCCAGGCCCGCCAAATAACAATGACGGCTGCAACCAAAAATAGCTGAGCATTGTGGGGGGCGCCTGTGGTCCCAGCTACTTGGGAGGCAGAGGCAAAAGACTTGCTTGAGCCCAGGAGTTGGAGGTTGCTGTGAGCTGTGATGCCACAGCACTCTACCCAGGGTGACAGCTTGAGGCTCTGTCTCAAAAAAAAAAAAAAAAAAGATTCCTGAGAAGGTCCAGGCTGACAGCTAGAGACAGGTATCATCCTCCTTCCCTGCTGGGGTCCCTTTTGCACGCTGTCACAGCACACTTACCCCATATAATTGTAACTTCTTGGCATCACCTTTAAGCACCACCTGGGAAGAAAGAAGAGGCATGATGTCTGAAGAAACTCCCAGCAGAAGCCAGCCAGGCAGTGTCAACCAAGACCCCAGCCTTTCATGGGGTACCTCCCTTTCTCCGGTGATGAGGAGGGCCCTGGACTGCCTGGGACAAGCAAGCCAGACTTGGGGGACAGTGAAAGGAGCTAGCCTCAGGGAGGCCCAGAGGCGAGGCCCAGGGGATTCTGGGGAGGGGTGGAAGGGGGGGACGGGGGCGCCTTGAGCTGGCCTTCCCTTCCCTTCCCCTCCCCTGGTTAGGGTGAGCAGTGGGGCGGGTGGTGGGTGAGGGGCGTGGTCCCAGGGAAGCATTTACCTCCTTATATCCATATCGTTCACTCTGTGCCTGGTTTCGAAGTTTGCTGGGGGAGAGAAAAAGGGGGAGAAAGTGGGGTTTAATGCCTTTGCAGCAACAGAGCAATTCGGTGCAGGAGAGGCTGGCTGAATGCATGGCCCTCTTCCCAGGTAGGGGGAGCGATTGTCCCTTAGACACCTGGGAATGTGGCTGGGACCCATCCAGGCCACCCAGTGACTAAGGACTAAGTCTCTTGTTCAGGCTTGACAGTGTCCGAATACTCTGCCAGGCCTCATACACAGATGGAGGGTGCTCTGCCAGAGAGCCCCCTAAAAAGTTCATTCCCCTTCCTTGGCCATTCCCATTAGGGAAATTCCTTCGGGTGCCCAAACTACACATATCAAAAGTGTGCTTACTATGAGCACGGAAGTTAGATAATTATTATCTTTTTAGATAGATTATTCTTAAAAAGGATATTCCTATTAAACCAGGACAGCAGGAAACTAAGTCTCTGTTGCTGACCCTGGGGAATTTCCCCCCCACACAACACAAGTATTCTGGAACCAAAGCACACTCTTCCCTTCCCGGTGCCAAACGACACAGACGATGCCTTCTTTGTTTTCTTCTTTTCATTTTAGGCTGGTGGCATACAGGCCGCCTAATTCTCAGTGGCCAAAACTTAGTGTCACTACTAACGGCAACAGCATAATTGTTACCGAGTACTTGATACGTCTTGCTGGGACAATAATCTCTCCATGTCTGTCACCACAGAATCCATACCCAAGTTAAGAGGGAAATGTTTTCCCTTTTATAGATGAAGAAAATAAAGCCCAAAGAACGTACATAGTTTGCCTGAATGTCCCTGAAAGAGTTGGCAGAGAGTCAGGATATGAATGAAAGTCTGTGTGATTACAGAGCCCAAGCTCTTTACCACATGATGCGGCCTGTTCCACCAATTAGGTGAAACACCCCACAGTTTGGAGCAGTGGTTCCCAACCTTTTTGGCACCAGGGATTGTTTGCAGGGAAGATAATTTTTCCAGAGACCTGTATGGAGCCGGGGAGGGGTGGTTTGATTTGAGTCTGCTACAATTGATTTACTATGATCTCTGTGTAGTCAGACCTCTCTGCTGCTGAGAATCTGTGTCTGCAGCACCCTCCCCCTCAGCTCCACCTCAGATCATCAGCATTAGATTCTCCTAAGGGGCCTGCAGCTGCCCATGGTTTACAGTAGGTTCCTCCAAGGAGACTCTCACATTGCTGCTGGTCTGACAGGAGGCGGAGCTCAGATGAGGGTGATGGGGAGTGGCTGTAAACACAGATGAAGCTTCACCTGCTCACTGCCCCCTCACCTGCTCACTGCCCCCTCACCTCCTGCTGTGTGGTCCAAGCACACTGGTCCTAGTAGGGCATGGCCCAGTACTGGTGTGCACTGGTGGTTTGGGAACCGCAAACCCTGAGAATATGGTTTTGACCATCTTGGAACATGCCCTAGGTTCCATTAAGTCTAAATGGCTCACTCT